TTGCGAACACAACGCAACGACCTCGCGTCGCCTCCTGGACCCCTGGACCCCAACTTTAAAACGGGAACCCTTCTGCGGAGCATTCGGGAAAAATGTACCTGGAACAAAAGTTAAGGGCAAGCCAAAGGTAGGCGCGGCAAAATTGTGAACTACTTGATTGCAAGCTACCCGATTTCCGGGTAAGGTCAACGGTCACACTCCGTTGAGAAAAGCCAGGCCTAAGTGCACCAGCATTCTGGTTTCTCTCTAGAATCCCTGAGAATAATTGTCCTCCCTGACTAGCAGTAGATGGAATAACGATCGAGGTCTCATGAACAAGGAGTCCCTCCTACGGATGATTGTATTCTGGTGGTGCAATATGGGAACCCTTATGTCTGGAAATATTAATCTCCCTTCCTTGTCCTGTTTTGGGTCTAAACCACTACTTTGCGGAAGTCGCCTTCCCGTAAACAGAGTCAAAGGCCATACGCAGCTTTCGGAAAGTCCCGCCCAAGGCCTCGAGTGTGCGTCTAAAAGGCCTATTAAAGATCATCACTCTATCCAAAGTCCATAGTAAGGGTCGGGTCTCCAAAACGGCTTCATGAGCAATTTTACGGGAGATGTTCATGTGCAGAGTTGCTGGGGAAGGGAACTACTTGCTGTTCTGAGGGCCTAGGGCTTTCAGCTCCGCGGCGTTGGAGCAGAGAGATTAGAGCTTAAGGTGTACGGAGGGTTGTGGTCTGCTGGTTTGGGGCCTTGGAGTTCCAGGAAACGCTGAAATTCGCAATAAGCTTGAGCCTTGCCTGTTGGTCAGTGTCTCGACCTCCACGAGGAGTAGTGCTGCTTGTCTCCATAGTTTTAGGCTTAGAGCTGCTTTTTGCTTTTTGATTACCAAAACCCAAGACTCTAGACTACAGGCCCAGAAGCCCTGTAAGAACTTCAACTCCTTTCTAGACCCTAACCCCCTTTACCAGCCTGCAAACCTCCCATAAGGCCTCACCGTAGACACATCCAAACTTGCTTTGCTGGTGCTTATTTGATGGCAGGGGAGTGCCTGCACCCCTGTAAAATTGCACATTGCTTCCCCAACTCGCCTTCAGCACCAGGAAACCATAAATGGTAGGCCTAAGCCCTTAAACCCTAAACAGCGTGGTAGTTTACAGGCCCTTTTCCATCCCTACACCCCAAGCAACATAGCAGTCCCAATTTTCGTTGTCACTCTTAAGCCCTGAATGTTCACCCTAAACCCTAAACCCTAAATCCTAAACCCTAAACCCTGAATATGTTGGAGTCAAGTCGGAGCACCTTCAAGTCCTCCGGATCGACAGTATAAGCAAAAGGCTCTGGCACCTTGCTGATTGACGGTCCAAGGTACCTATAACCACCTTAAGAAGAGGGGTGGGTTTTGAGGGGGTGCCTAAAAGGGCGCTGAAAGGAAGGAGGGGGTTCAGGAGGACCTTAATTAAGGGCGGGGGACTGCAACGAATTTACTATCATATCGGTAACATACTTTAAGTTCGTTAGGGACGACTCCGATGTCCCCTAACTCTTTGCATCCCTCGAGTGCCTGGGAGTGATGGGAGACATTCAGCTACAGAAGCAGAATCCGGACCCAGACACCTCACAGTGGAGCGTCACGGCCAGGAACCTCAACTAGAACACAGTCCCTGCATCCTGGACCCGCACGGCAAAGATATTGTAAATTGGAGTATGCTGGCCCCCAACATAACTTGCCATTGCATAGTAGTGTCAGAGCCTGAAACTTAGCCAATTTGGGCATGTTGTCTATATAAACCACCATTTAAGGTGAGGTCGGGCGAGACCGTTATCGTTTACCCAGTGTCAGGTATTGTTGGGTTAGATGTACAGTTAGTAGCCTGGCTATAGCTACGCTGGACCTGGATGCAGGCTTCCCTGGAATCATTGATGGTAAGAATATATGGGGGCTTTCCCCAAGTGAAGGGTACCATTTGGGGGGTCTCTATAATAAGGACTACAGTATTTTAGGGTCTATATTGGGGTCCCCTATTTTGGGAAACTACCATCATCTTCTTTGATAGTCTTTTTGGCGGGTTGAGGAACAACTTGCAGGGATTCAGCGGGCTGTCGGATGCAGATTCTTTCGTGTTTGATGTTTTTGAAGAGTTTGGGCAAAACAGGGTTGAGGGTTAAACTACTCGGCTTTCGTTAGGTATAGGGTTGTGTAGAGTATATAATAGGGTTTAGGGCTACATAGGGTTACCGGTGTATGCAAGGCTTCGGGACTCTATATTATGACTCTATATGGATTTGGAGTTTATGGTGCAGGGGCCTTAGGATTGGACATCCTGATTAGCCACACAAAAGAAATCCTACGAGATGACAACGTTCCATGTAATCCACTTCTCCATGCCCTGCTGCTTGCGGTGAGTTCAAGGGTTACTGCAAGCTGCTCAAATAGGGAAAACCAATCAAGCTGAGCCGGCACGTGTACTGCCCTTCAATCGACAACTCCAGTCACGCCAGGTTCGCCCGTCAGCTTGAAATCTAATTGGGCCCTGCATCCAATCAACAAATACCTGAGACCCTCATGCGCAGGCCCTACATCCTAGATTACAACCTCGGAGCCTCAAAATGTAGGCTCTGCATCCTAGACTATAACCCTGAATCCTCAGCCCCTACCCTAAACCCTATACCCTAAAACAGCATAAAACAGCATAGCCTTGAACACCCCCAAACCGTCCGCCTGCTCCAGGAAGGGATGTTGGGACGTCCACTTCTGTGTGATGGGCTTGTTGGGCCTGATATGGCTTAGGGCACAGGATCTAGGGGGAGGGTTTGGAGAGTTTGGGTTAAGAGTTCAGGGGTTAGTAGGGGATGGAGGCACGCATACAAACAAAGTTATCCTACTGAGCATGATGTACGGCTTAGGATTCTCCAAGTTTCGGCAACTACCGGTAAGTGCTTGTGTTTTAGGCGGCCAGATTGTAAGTTGCTTCCAGACTAGAGATTGAAAGCAGCTGCCCCAGAAGGCAGCTTTCGCAAATCAACCCATGCCAGCAGCATAAAGGATTAGCTGATGGGAGTTGTGAAGAATAAGCTTCGTGATAGATAAATCAACAGTGAGCCCGGGAAGTAGTAAAGTAGCGGTACCATAGGCATGGACATAACAGCAGATGTGGCCGTATAAAACTGGTTCCAACAACTAGAGGACGCAAGAGGTCTTTGACTACTTGAAGTTTGTTGGAAGGGTTGTGTTTCAAATCGCTCGGAAGTCGCCATTCCAGTATACTGCTGGTAGCTCTTCGGGATATGTGACATGGGGATTTCCCAAAACTAGGGGTACCATTTTGGCGGTCCCCGCTATAGGAAGGATTGTCGTATTTGAGGGTCTTTATTGGGTTCCGGCAAGGCAGGGAATACAGGAGAAGAGTACTGTGCCTTCCAATCACGCAATCACCGCCCTTAACTGCCGATTGTTGGTTCAGCCAGAATGCGTGTTGCAGAAGGACATTGTGACAAGGCCTTCTGTTCTGTAATGGCCTCTGAAGCACTGCTGTGCTGCACTTCTAACTCTTGGAACTGCTGAAGAAACCACCACCGCAATGGAAAACACACAACCAAAGCCACTTCCGTAGTAATGAATGCTTACCGAACCCCTTGGTTATCAGCAAATCCACTTTCAGGTTCAAAGAACTGAGCCCTAAACCCCAAACTGCCTTTTAGGCCCAGCTTCTACTAAATCACGAAAGCTTCTGACTGAGGCCCAAGCACTGTGCGTGGCTCCGGGAAACGGGGTTGAATAACCTTTGGGGTTTCGGGTTTAGGGTATAGGGTTTAGGGTATATCGGGTTTAGGGCTTAGGGTTTAGGGTTTAAGGTCGAGGGTGTAGGGTATAGGGTTTACGGATTAGGGCTTCAGGCTTAAGGTTTAGGATTTACGGTTGAGGGTTTAGTCCCCAACATCCGGCCGTAGGATGATAATTTCTGTTCCTGAGCTGAGCCAATTCAGGGTTGTTTTCGAAATAGACCACCATGTAAAGTGAGGTCGGGCGAGATGGCTATGCGGGGATGTCCTTAAATTGGGGGCCCCAAAATACGGGCCAAATCTGCTATCCTTATTCTAGCGGCTCCCAAAAAGGGGTGCCTCACTTTCGTACACCCAAATCCCTGTAAACCACGATACAAACTCAGCTTCCTTGCCACTTTTCCTGTCATTTCCCATCTGGTTCTCCATTAGTGGGGTAATATAACTGCCAAACCTTACACCGCCCTATATAACCCCTAATCCCTAAACCCTAAACCTTAATCCGTAAACCCAAAACCATAAACCCCAAACCCTAAATCCTGATGCTTAAGCCCTAAACCCCAAACCCTAATCCCTTTTCAACGGACACAGTTTGCCCAGCAACATGAGTTCCTGCACTCAAAGCTTCGAAGCACGAGGGCGCGATCAAGGGCTCCCCTTCCATTGGAGATCCATGGTTTCGGGTTCAGGTTCAGGTTTGGTTTAGGGTTCAAGGTTTAGGGTTAAGGGTTTCAGGTTTAAGGCCTAGGTAGGGTAAGTAGTCAAAGCCTACTAATTTGTATCTGTTGGGGTTAGTAGAGGGGAGCTATCGAGATTATACAAGGGCATAGAGTGGGATTTGTAGGATTTAGCGTGCAAGGGAGAATCAAATGGAACATCACGTGGGCAATGAATTGGAAACCGACGGTTTATGAGATGATATAAGGTTTAGTAGTCTCATGGCATCTAGAGAATCCAGGGCCTTTGCGTGGGGATGAACGGAAATTCGGTGAACACATCCCAATGTGGTCGCGTGTGATGGTGTGAGGAGTCTGAGGTTTAGGGCTCGGAGCTTTGCTGAGGTTTCTACGTGACACTTAGGACGCCTACTAAGGGTGAACCCTTAGGTACCCATAATAGGAGTATAAGGGAACTCCAAAGGGTGAAGGGTCTAAGGTCCAAGCTAAGTCCCAAGGAGATTTGCAGAGGGTGTTTGGGGTTGACATGAAACAGGTATATAGACCCTAACCCCCCTGGTCCAAACACCATAGCTTGACCTTCTCTAGCCCTACGCTAAGCCCCATGCCCCTATAGCCCCCTTTAAACAGATAGAATATGGCTGTGGGTATATTATAATAAGATCCCCATATACCACATTTTCTATCTACTGAAGGGGTCTTTCACAAGCTGCGCCTACACCAACGTAGACGGCTGAGGCTTGCAACAACTCGCGGAAGGCTGCCGGAGACCTTGGCGACAGCAGCTTGCATGGTTATATGGGTGTTATATTGGGATAATGGAAAAGAAGATGGAAACTGCCATACTAGAATAGCGGTTATGTAGGTTAATATAAGGTTTTTATTGGGGAAATGGAAAATAAAATGGATACTACTATAATGAGGTTAAAGAGGGTTTAGTTTCTTCGGCGTAACCAACAGCTGCTGCAAAACTGTCTTCTGTCATTAAAGATAGATTGAAAGGTCAAGGCGAAGCTAAATAAGTATGTATATGAATATGTATATATATATATATATTTCCCGATTTTCATACTGAATATGAGACTTGTATGGAATCACTCAAACACAGACGTAACTATCAGCAACTGATAAACTTTCGACCGGTGGAAGATTGGTTTAACGTCTCCATAAGCATGTGGTTTATGAAATAATGAAAAAAATCTAACTCCGAACTTCTGTTTAGAAAGCTCTACATCTACAACATAATCAGTGTTATCATTTTCATCCGTCCAACAAATTACTGCTCTATAAGTTGTCATACTTATCTGTCATACATATATATATATATAATACACATTATTCTTCATTCCTTTAAAACGCCTCACCCGTTCTTGACTTTATCCTTGCTATTTCTCTCCAATGGTAAAAATTAGAATGAACTATTGTTAAGTCTTTTGTATAATTCTTTGTTAGAGTAAATATATTGTTATGTATTTTCTTTGGTTTAGGGCTCAGATGTTATATTGGGATAATGGAAATAAACATGAAACTACCATTTAGGGTTTAGGGTGGAGGGTTTAGGGTTTAGAACTCAGGGTTGGTTTAAGGTTTAGCGGAGTATGGGATACGAGGGGCTGTATATGGGGGGTTCCCAAAATTAGGGGTACCATTTTGAGGGTCCCCATAATAAGGATTACAATATATTGGGGTCTATATTGGGGTCCCATTATTTAGGGAAACTACCATATAGGTCTGGGATGGTATCATGGTCTTAGGGGGCGAAGGCAATATTGTTGGGCGTGGGCTGAGGCCGTAAGTGGTGATGCAGGGTTTAGGGCTGAGGCGGTTGCATCGGGTTGAGGATTCAGGGGTTAGGGTTTCGGGGTTTAGGGATTAAGGTTTACCCTCAACCCTAAACCCTAAATTTAGGGATTAGGTTATAGGGTGTAGGCTTTGAATGATGTGACAGGAATTTACTGAGCCCACTGTTGTAGATCCTTAGGTCTTGGCCAGGATACCAAGAGGTGACCCATAATGAAATACCCCAAAGAACATAACCGGGCAATATAGGGATACTAGAAAAAATGAAATCATCACATAAGAGGGTATATATTGGGGTTTATACCGGGGAATGGGAAGTCTAGGTATGGCAAGCAAGGTCCTTCCAGAGAAAAGATGCCAGCCATAATGAAAGCCCACCCTGCGGTTGCCTTATGGTAAATGTATAGGGCTCTGATCTCTCTGATTCTGCACAAGAGAATCCAAAAAAAAGACAGACTCAAAACCTAAAAAGCAAAAACTCTAGACCCAGGCTCAAAGCCATCAACCCCAAACTCTAAGATCAAAAGCCCTAAATCACCCCCAGAACTGTTACCTGGGCTACCTGCTGGACACTGCGCACGTCCACTTCAGGGCAGCAGGATTGGAGGATGCGCTCCGTCCCATAGGTATCCTCGGGGTGTATGCAGGGGTTCGAGATTTCGTGTAGTTTCAGGACCAAGGATCGAACAGACCTACAGACTGGGCCGTGGTGTAGAGTCGAACCTCATAGTCCCAAGGAACCCCTAGCAATCCACCACATCATTTTCTAATCGTTTTCTAATGGCTCTTGTTCCCCCCCCCGGAAGCCACTCTTAGAAAAGCCCGTCCTGCTTGTCTATAGTTGCGATGACCTTGCAGTACTTTGAGTACCTTGGTCACACCCGCTCCAGCCAAAAAGTGCCATGCGAAGGCTACTTCTCAAATGGCTACTTCCCAAATGGCGTGTGCATAGTGGTCCATCTTTGTGGAAATCTTCGACTGCCAGGTGTGAGGTTTGCATAGGAAATCCAAAGTGAGGCCTTTTTTTTGCTTGTGTTCAGCCAGGGCTTATTCCTTAGAGTCGAGATGCTAAGAGGTGTGGAGTAAACTCCTGTGTGTGAGAAAAGCATGTTGAAAAAAGGCTTCATGCTGCAGCCTGTGAGCGCCCACAAACGCTTAGTGGATGTCTTTCTTTGACTAGGTCGGGCCCAAATTTTCGTATATAGGGTTCCCTATATTAAAGCCAGTAAAGAAAATATTCAATATCCCAGGGGCCTGCCCTACTATTATTACTACTCTTACTATTTTGTTTGCTAGTTAATGCAGGTGTAGAGCCACAGGTAAAACGGAATGCAAAGGCCAAAAACCTTCAGCTGTGGGTTTTTTGGACTCGGGGGTGGCAACAAAAAACTGCGGAGATGAACTGCAAAGCACACACAAAAGACGCCCACGACAAAGGGGTCCTGACTACTGCTTAGGTTCCCAGACCACTGAGCTCTACCTAATTCAAAAACCAACCTTACACACCAAACCGCAGCCGCTGACATCTGCCTTGCCAGCAAGTCCTAGACTTCACAATCTAGGCCCAGTTGCTCCCGTAGCAGATTCTGGTGATATGCTGGCCACCCAAGGGATGTGTTTAACCACGGATGCACCTTGAAAATTAACAGGCCTACAATTGATAGGGTTATAGTTACCAGAATCGCTCAC